AATAAATAAATAAATATGAATATAATATTAAATATAAATAAATAAATAAATACAACATAATATTTAGAGCTACAGAAACATCTAATCAAACGAGAGTGGACTTCTTAGATCCTCTTATTTTGGGGTAAGCAGAAATCACAATGACTATAATGCTCCTGCACTTCAATTCAAGAACATTTGGACTTTTTGCATTTCACAAACAATGGTGAAATAACAACTGTTCCTCATGTCATACCCACTAAGCACAACCACACAGATCACACTGTAGTGTCGTTCTGTAAATTCTCAACTATACTTTTTAAATGCCATCCTCTCTAGATCACAAGTGTTGTGATCTCGAGATAACAAGATAATCAACCCGGTATAAAGAGAAAACAAAAGGTTGTTTCCTCTCACTGTTCATAATGTGTATCACAGATCAGGAGCAGCCTGCGTACATGGTGTATTAGAGATGTTCAACATAATGGACGATGCATGGGGGAATGAAATGCCAGCTAATAATTATTTTCATACCGACCAAAATGAGCCAGCAGCCAGGAAAACGTTTCTGAAAAGAAATCTCAATCTGCTCCCGATATATTTTCTCAGTATTGCATCACACTGCCAGGAAATTATGAGCTTCCATTAACTCTCGGGGGTTCTGGTAACTACTCTGTTCACTTATGAATCCTCCCCAGCAATCATTGCAGGGATCCTAAAGGCTGAAATTAGAAGTGATCAAACGAACCAAACCAGTTAGCCCTTGATCTGAAGAAAACAAGAGTTGTTCTCTCGTCATAAATGGTCTCGTTATCTCAAGAAATCTGACTTTTGTTTGCTCAAGATCACTAGATACATTGTGATCTGAGACATACGAAGTCAGGATTATCATGACATCTTAAATTCATGCTGACATTCTGGATAAACGAGTCTAATTAATGCTCAACATTCATTTACAGAAGGGTGCTGAATGATAATGATCTGATGATGATGATGATCAGCTCTTCTACAGAGCTTCACACAACCCCCCTACTTTAAAGTCTTGGGAAATACTCCAAAACAAGTACAATTTCCTTTAACCCATTTCTCCTGAGGGTCAAGGGAAAGGAAATGGGTTTTCTTTTTTAATCGGTCACCATGATGTAGGACAAATACCAACAGACCAGGAATGTGGAGAATTCAAAACCTCCATTTTCAGTCACAACCTTCAACAGAAACACCATTGTAAAACCAGGACAGAGAAAGTCTTCTTTTACTCTACAGACTGGACAACAACAACACCATCAGTTTCTCTACATCGTAGAAACGTAGGAGACATATTTCCATATGTGCCAAAACCACAACTAAAGGTAGAACAAACCATCAATATAGCAACATTTTGTGGTCGACACACTCATCAATATCATGAAGTCAAGCACAGGAGTATAATAATAATAATACAGGCATTTAAAGCAGGAACTAGTCTTTAGCTTTATAAACAACAGTTTTGCCGGAGGATGAATCGACTCACCATCTGATTGGGAACATTTCTGTATGTTGCAGTGTGTGCATTAAACATATAGTTACACACAGCTTCCTCTGAGTATTAAAGTGCACAGAGTAGAAACGAGCCGGGGGGGGGAGGGGCTTTATTACCTTTACCTGATAGTGACAGCTGGAGAGAGACAGGAAAGAGAGGACGACACGCAGGTGGGATTCAAACCCTGGGCCGCTGCAGCAAGGACTACATGGTACAAGGTACATGGGTCGCCAGCTCTACCCGCTGAGCTAACCGGGCGCTCAGTCGCCGCCTTTTTTTTAACCAAAACCTCTTAAGATGTGTTGCAGCTGTCACACCACAGATATGCAAAAATGTCAGCTCTGCAGTGTGTACATAGGCTTCTAACGCTCACCATGTTGACTGCTGCGACACTGCCTGTCTTTATATTGATGCCTAATTGTTTAAAAGCAATACAATTTCAGACCCTCACACTCACATACTTAATTATCATAATATTCGGCCTGTCTTTTGCAAATAATTACCCATTTACTAGAGCTAGACTGCTAAATCGGCCTCTACTATTACACATCCAGCAGACGTGGAGCAAAGTAGCATTTATTGAACTCATCTTTCAGTCAACCTGATGAGTGAATGTGCTAAATATTCACACGTCCACCTGCCACATGCTAACTGTGCTGGGCAGGTAGCACTGTGACTCGCTTCCCTGGGACAACTTGTTACGTAGCCACTACAGAATCATTTTCCACAGACCCTCAGATTTCTACTAAGGTGATGTCCTTGTAAGGATTACTGAAAAATACACTCATAAACATGGGACATGACTCACATACCCACCACCAGGCGCACCGCTGCTCTCGGCCCACTTTCAATTACAAATGGAGAGTGACTCAGTCCTGCCAGTAAAGAAATGCATCTGAACAATGTCCTGCAGCGAACAAGCCTCGTACTCTTCAGGGTGCAACATTTCACAGGACGATGCTTCTTGCCGTGGTAACCCGGCATACAGGCCATGTTTAACCCAGGAGTGCGTTAACGGGACCAAAGTCATCAGCTTGTGACAAAAGAACAACAATGTTTTGTCACCATGTTTTCCTCCAACTGTGGATGTCAGCTGATATCACCACAAGCACACTGTGAAGACCACAAACTTACAACAGAACAGGTTTGAAATATCCGTGCAATGTTTTCTCCCCTCTTCCCTGACTCACTGCAGCAACATATATAACACATAATAATTAATGTTTTAACCCACTGACCTACAATTCACACAATCCTAGTCATGAAATCAAAGTATGATTATTGCTTGACCTTCAGTTTTTGGAATTGACTCATACACGTCATGAAGCGAGCTTTCAAAACACTGTATTGTAGCAAAAAATCCAACAAGATGCTGATGAATTACACAGAAACACACTGAAAGGTGTCTACCTTCAGTGATATCGTTGGTTGGAGAAACTCTTTTAAACACCTCTAAGTATTTCACAATACAATTCAACAGCACCACAAAGTACATCATCCAAAATTACCATGAAGTTGAATCGGCACGTCTTTAAAACTGAAAACGATATCCTCCACCAAGCCTGGGTTCACTGCAGAGCTGCTGTATTAGACTGCATCAGCTCGGTGTATCAAGAGTGGGAACTGATGGTACGTCTCCCTGCATATTCATGCTCTCACAACTGAAAAGGTTTAAGAAACCAAACTCTACCTTATTAATGTTTCCTTTTCAACAATTATGTTCCTTGAATAAAAAAACAAAAAAACAAGCTTTCTCGAAGTTAAGCTTATCTCATGTTCACAAGACGCACAAATTCATCAGAAATTTGCATTTTCTCTTCCCTTGTGAAAATGTCATTTCAGTCACAGCCTCCAGTTATCAGTTCTGGCGCAGCTGGGGTCTGCATTTAGCCCGGTGTCCTCAATGTGTCCACTGAACCAGCGATGTCCTCTCACCTCATTATGGAGTGATTCAGCAGCGACTAATCATGTGAGTGTATGAGACAGACGGAGTAGGGAAACAAATGGAGGAGTAAAAAAAAAGGCAGAGACGTGGCAGACACAAGAGGGATGTATAAAGACAGGGACAGGCAGACGAAAGCTTACGGCTGCAAACTGATGTCGATAACCATCAAATAATTCAGACCTCACATAATCAAAGACTGTGGATTTGAATTGGCTCAAGCGGTAGACAGAAATCCTATGAGGGGTAGAGCGATACTTACATCTCTGGGGTGATAAGTAACATCCTGTAACACTACATGATGTGGCTCTCAGTGAGCACCTAAAAGACAAAAACTGTTGTCACTTTTGTCACAGGTGTATTCATTAAGTTTCCAATTTTAGACCAGATCAATTCAGTATGTCAGTATTTGTGGTTTGATAGCTATTTCTGCCGACTGGATCACATTTAGCCTTGCTCTTGGAAGTGACGCCGCTTTTTCAAAATGCACACAGGTTGTTTCATCCTTGCTTTAAACGCCTTTACATGAGGACTGCACAGGGCAAGTCCTACGTCCTGCTTAGGTTCTCCTTTTATACTGCAAAGCTTTGTGACTGCGGGACAGAAAAACATCTATTTAACCACAACAGACACAATGTTCACGGTTCAGGAGCTCTGCTTCTGCGAGGACGCTGAACTTTCCAACAAATTCATGTATTAACTACTTTCAAGGGTCTACTGAGCAAGCCAGTCATGCAAAAATGTCTATTTTAAGGCTTTCAGCCCACATGCAAAACAAAAAGTCTTCCTCTATGACTGTACTTTACAGAGGGGGCAAGACAAACATCAGTTTCCACTTAGCTCAATAAGTTATCTGATAGCTATGCTACTCAAACAGTTTCACTATTGATCACACCTTGTCACCTCTAATCACAAATGCAAACACACAAAAAGCGTCTGAAAAACAACCATCAGGTTACTGTGCTGTCCAGGTACTGTAGCTGTGAATGTGAAAGGGTCCTACCTTCAAGAGCCCTGCACTTTGTCTGATACCGACTGACCCGGACGACCACCTGCCACAAGTCCACCTGCCAGCACTAAAACATATGACAGGCTCTTTTCCGACAGCCGAGCACCAATTACTCCACCTGTGAGTTTAGTTTAAAAACGCCAATTAATCCAGTTTAAAGCCAGATTAGGAATAACGAATTCCACTGGGGATAAACAGCCCCGTCGCACGCAGCCTGTTTCCTCTGAGAAAAACAACCGTCCAACAAGTTAACACTAACCAATTATGGGTCGATAATGAAGTTATTTCCCTCCTCTTCATTAATAGGTAAACCGTTAAAGGCAGAGCCTAACGTTAACTCACCAGTTGACGGTTAATTCACTACAGTGTGTTTGGATAACGGCTAACGGTCAGCGCGTTAATGTAACCTAGACAACAGCGTTGAGTTGAAACCACCACCCCGGTGTTTGTGTGGATTCGTGCTGTTAACTTTACTCTCATCAGCTGCTCTGCTGGGGGGGAAAAAGTTTCTCTCGGAAGCAAAGTTTTGAATTCTTGTCTTTCACTTACCCTTTTCAAGTCTTCCCAAGTGTTCAACTCACTGAAATACGCTGCCGTTTGGTTTTTGAGGTACAAATTAGTGGCCACGACTGCGACGCCGAATAGCGGAGAACATTTTTCACACGGACGAAAAGCAGTAACAGCAACAGGCAGCCAAGGGTTAAGTTAACGGAAACGGAGCGGAACAGTTCGGACTGTGCCTTTCAAAATAAATACACGCACATATACGTTCAGTTATGTAGCGTTTTATTTTTAGGGCTAGTGTTGCTATGCGTTTCCGGTGATTCGCTTGCTAGTTGTGGTTAACTTGATAGCAAAATTGCAAAAACTTCCGTATGGCCGTCATGTGACCACTGAAAAACCATAGAGAGCCCAGTTTGTTTTCATGCAAATGCCCTTTAACTAGATATTATCCCACTTACTAAGCACTGAGAAGAATTACAGCTCACACGAGACTGTATTTGTAACGAATACGCACATATTGCTAGTCCATTTAATACAAAATATTAAAAGTACTGTCACAGAAATAATAATTATAGCCTACAGAAAATGAAAATGTCATTATTTACTCACTATTGACAATGATACACACACAACATGACAAAACACACACAACACTAGTTTTCCTTCCTTGATTCCTTGGAGAGGAATGGTGTTAACTAGTATTGTAAAAAATAAAATAAATGAATAGAAATAAATACAAAAAGTTTTTTTGGGTGAAATGGTTTACATACTTTTAATCACAAAATCAAACAAACAAGTGTAGAAGTATATAAGTCAAATGAAAAGACGCTATTTAATTGCATAGCTTCAAGTCCAGTCCATGAGCCCACCTGGTGGTATAAACAGGTATAATCTTGGAAACTATCTAGTCACCACTGTGACTGTGACTAGAAAAAATTCTGAACAGATATATATTTTTATGGAGGTGGCAGTGATGTGGCATTCAGATCAGCAGCTATTGACTCAGACAAGTGGCTGAATTGTTAGTTGTAAGCTCCCATAGGAACCAGAAGAGGGCAATCACTCACCATCAAGATACCGAGCCTGCAGAAGGGAGAGGACATTTTTAAAAAGAATCATGTTTTTTTTAAAAAAAGCCCAAATAATAAATGGAAACCAGCATTTAAAGCAGAAAGAGAATGTTGCATCTAAATAGACCCTAAATTATTAAAGATGGTTCCTTTGATTGCAGTTTCAGAGTGAAGAGAGTCAGCGAGATGAAAGCGACTGAGAGAGAGGGAGGCTGGCATGCAATAAAAGTAATACCCCAAATTGGAATCCATCACAGCCACAGCGTGTATCATGATGTACCAGGAGACTCCAAACATAAAACATTTAGGAACTAAATATATCCCACTTGTGAGTCTGCATGAATAAAAAAGGTCACATTTGTCACTATGCTTTGTAAAACCTTCACTGATTGTGTTGTTTAGAGAGCTAAAGGGGAAATATGCCTATTATTTCGCCTCCTGTTTGTGTAACATAGAGATGTGATTCAGTCCTGTTCCCTCATGTCACAGTCAGAGGCCCTGTTGCCCCAAAGACTCAGTGAGTAAAAGGGTAATATTTTAGCTTTCAGGAGCCTGGATGAACAATACACTGACTCTGTGACACGTCAGTGACTTGGCAGTGTGTTACTCATTTCACTTCCAACCTGGGATAAAGATCAGGGGGCTGTGTCGGAAAGATTAACTTGGGGAAAGGAGATGGAAGGAGGAGAGGAGATGAAAGGTGACAGATGGAGGAAACAGGTGGTAAAAGGTGAGGAGTGGCAGAGAAAGAACGAGGAGTAAAAGTTGAGGGCGAATGAGAGGGAGGTGAAAAGAGCAGAAACAGGAGAGCAAATAAAGCTGAAGGCTGTAGAGGAGGCGAAATGGGAATACATGGAGGAGAACAAATGGTTTAGAGGGAGACCAGGGGAATAAGAGGAGAGGAAAAGTACTGAAGAAAAGAGGAGGATCAAAGGAGAAGAGAGGCCTGGATGAGAAGTGGATGAAAGGATGGATGAGAGAAGGGAAGAGGAAACGGAGAAGAGGAGAAATCGAGGAAAGGACGAGGAGCAGATGATAAAGGGGCAGAAACAGAGTAGGGGAGAGAACACAAGAGATGCAGGGAAGAGGGAGTAGGAGAGGAGGAGGGGGGGGCAGGGGGGGCGGTGATGAGTCATCCCCAGGATCTCAGCCCTGGTGGGCCGGGTTGCTGTGGGGGTGGCAGTGTGACACATATGCAGAAACACACACACACAGGGAAGCCGGCCGTCATGCTGCTTATATGTCTCCTCCTGCTGTGGAGGCGGGTGGAAGACAATACAGGGATGCCACTGGGACACACAGTTCACACACACACTTGTGCACAAGCAGCCCTTTTCCTCCTCTGACACACACACACACACACACACATATAATGATGATGATGGCTCAACGAGAGGCCTCATTAAGACTCTGAGAATGGATGGATGGTTTTATACAAGGACAGCTGTAGGAAAGAAAAAAAAAAGGGCTGGAGTCGCAATACACCTCATGCCTTTTTTGCATCTCTCGCATACTCTTCCCTTCATCATTAATATTTCATTAGGTGGTTCCTATGCAGAGGCGGATGTTGTAAAAAGGGAACCGTCAGAGAGGATGACATGCGGAAGAAAAAACCATTTGAAGGCATGACGTTACATATAGAGTACAATGCTATGTTCCTCTTACAGAAATGCATAGAAAATGTTCAATGCCGCCTCTAGAAATACTTAAAGCCATGTTAGTGTGAGTGTTAGTTTATGTTATGCAATTAACCCACCACAGGGAGACACAAATTGTACATGTGGTGCATTTCCAGTATACTTGCTCTTTAGTCTAATTCTACATAGGGAGGAAGGGGCGGACACCCTGCAATAAGTCACTTGCTCTGTGACAAGCAAGCTCTTATCTCTCAATGTCTCTCATTGGTGCTGAGTCGATCTCAGAGTTGCCATGCCAACAGATTGGGGGATTCCTAATTCTGATCTAGGCCACTGCGCACACATGCACACTTTCCGACCAGTGAAACACGATTTACCAATAGGTTGAATATCATGGTGTTTCCCTCTTCTAATCATGGCAGCAGCATTTTATAATAAATGGCTTTGTTTATCTGTGTGTATCTAAAAGAATGTGTGAATGACAGCAGATCAACCAGTTAATCAGGTCAGCGACTCTTTATACCTCATTTAGTGTCAGCACAACCATGCAAACCTGCAGGCAGCATCAGCCATCAACCCGAGCAAAGGCGTTGACACATGTAAAAATACACACACACACAGATAAAAAAAGACTCAGATCGCCAGTGGAATTTGAAAACCTTTGTAGGAATCTGTATTTAATTTTTTAAACTCTACATACATTCATACATCTCTCAAATAGAGGAGCAAGACAGTACGTGTGAGTGTGAAATATGTATGTATGTATATAAGTAAGTGTGTGTGTGTGTGT